AGCACTTCTTCTGCAGAGCTGCCCTTAAAGCTCCCTTTCTCCTCTCTATCTTAGTGTAGCTAAAATAGAGCCGACCTACTCTGCCTTGCTTCCCCAGCTCCATACGGTAGTAGAGACAGTGCTTGTCATTACAATAAAAATAATAAAATTATTACTATTTATATACTTTTTTACTTATTACACTTTTTATAGCTACTTAATGTAGGTTGTTTTACTTTTTTTAAAAAAGTATATAAGCGCTAAGCTAAAAACTTTATACACAACTAGATTACTTATATTATAACAATAAAGTTTTTACTATGCTTTAAAGTAGCCTATAATGCTATAATTACTTTTAGTAATATTTAAAAAAAGTTTTAAAGCGCTAGATTAGTTTCTTTTAACTTATAATAAGTTATAATAAGCTTTAATATAAAGTTACACACTCTATTACTACTACTACTTATATATAATAAGCCCTAGTAGTTATAAACCCTAAGTAATACTTTAGAACTTAGGTTATAATTAATACTTATAAAAATAAAAATTTAAAAGTATATAAATAGTTTACTAACTTTTATAGTTAAAGCATTTAAAAAAGTTTTAAAAAGAGTAGTAATAATTACATATAAGCTAGTATTAGTGTAATAAAAAATTACTAAGCTTTAAGCAGCTAATAAAGCTGCTATGTAATATAAATTATATAAAAAAAAGTAAATTAAAGTAAAAAAAACTTTAATAATTTAGAAAAGCCTATACTTAATAGCTCTAAAGGAGTTTAAAGCGCGCAGTAATAGAAAGAAGGTAAAAAAGCAGGTGTAAGCTAAAGTAAGTAAGCTATTCTAAAAGCGCTGCAGATAGTGCAAGTAGACTAGGCATAACACGCAAATGTGTAAGTAAGAAGTAAAAGTAGTATCTAAATAATATTCTAGGCTGTACTGTACTATATAGTGCCAGAGCAGGTTGTTATAGGCTATAATAGAGTTTGTTAGGGTGGGGTCTTAGCAAAAGTAAGCAACTTAGGTGTGTGAGCAACTCGCCCATGAAGTACGTTATGTTTAGACACTTAGAAATTAGATTACTATAAAAAAAGATTAAAAACACTATACTCTAAGAGGTGCCTTAATTAAAGCACCTATGCACTAAAGTCCTGCAGGAATGCAACATCTGCAACAAAAATAACCTACAACAACATAAACTCTACAGACTACTTTAACTAATTACAGCACTAGGCTAACTATAGACTATAATAACTATAGATTTTATTACTAGGCTACTACTATTATAAAAACTTAGCATAAAAAGACTCTGCAACATAATTACATAAGTTATTAATAAAACTACTAAATTTATCTACCTATAGCTATTAAAAAAAAGCATTATAGCTAAAAAATTTATATTTAAACTAAAAAAAAATGTCTTAGCTACTTATAGTTACTCTAAGATTATTATCTTTAACTAAGATAAGTTATTTATAAGTAAATACTAAGTAGCTGTAGTTAAGCACCTTAGGATTAACTATAAGCTCTCTACTGCCTACTACCTGCAAATAGACAGATAAACAGAAAAAGCTAACATAAAAGTAGAAAAATATCTACGCAAGTATGTGTTATATAAACAAAATAACTAGGCAGAATAGTTGCTAATAGCGTAATTAGCTATTAATACTATAAAATTAGCTACTACTAAAAAAACTCTATATAAAGCTAATTTTAGATACTCTTTATAATACAAGCTTTAAGGCTTACAGCTAATAAACCTTTTAGAAGCTATAAACTAAATAACTAAGCTTTTAGAACTACATTAGAAATTAACTAGTAAAGCATAATTAGCTTAAGAAGCTATAGAAAAAATAGTAAACTAAAAAAGACAACTAGCACCTAAAATACATCTTAATAACTATATGTACTTAGAAACAAAAGATCTTAAAGCACTAAGACCCTCTAGGAAGCTAGCTAAAAGACATATAAAACTTTATAGAGTAATATAAACACACTCTAGCATTTATAAACTTAAGCTACTAAAAGAAATATAAATACACCTTTAGTTCTATGTCTTTAAGCTTAAACTTATGCCTAAAACTATTCTACTAGCAACTACTAGATAGAAAGAAGAAGAAAAGGAATATAAAGTTAAGTAAATCTTAGACTATTAAGAAAATAAGTACCTAGTAAAATAAAAAGAATAGCTTACTAGTAAAAACACTTAGAAACTTATTAAAAACTTATTAAACACCTCTTAAGCCTTTTATAAATACTTAGAGTCTTTTTTAAATAAAACTACTCTAGAGAAAGATTCTTAGACTAGAAAATATTATTATTAGTTAAAGCTATAGCAGCACTAGCTAGCTGCAATGTAGGAGGTCTGCAACCTTTTAATATAGGTTAAAAAGAAGGAAGACTTACAGCCTCTGCCTTAAGTGCTTTAAGCTTATTTAAAAATAAAAAGTCTTTTTTTAAATACTTTACCTTTTAATTCTCTAACACTTTTAACTGCTTATAAGCCTACTTTTAATAAGAAATAATTAACTAAAAATGTTTTAGTAACTTTTTTTTTATACATTTTATTCTCTTAAACTGCCTTTAATTTAGCTAATAGTTTTTTACGCTCCTGCTCTAAACAGTTTTAGGCTATGTTAGACATAAAAGCATTATAGTAACTACCTTTTTGCACACACTCTACACACTTATTTAATAATAAGGATATTACACAAAAAGATCTACTTAAGTAATAAGCACTATAAGAACACATTTTTATATAGTAAAAAAAATTAAGACAAGTAATAGTGCAAAGACAATAAAGAATAGTAGAGAAATAAAAGGCCTAATAAAGCATAGTTAAGAAAGTTAGACATTAAGCTAGGCTTTAAAGAAGGACATGCACTAGCTAAAAAGAAAACCTAACACCTGCAATAGAAAGAATGTAATAGTAAGAATGCTAACTAGGAGAAAAGCCTACATGTTATAGCTAATAGACAGACTGTAATAACTTAATTAGCTGTCCTATACAGCCTAAACAACATTAGATAGAAGACACTTAGCTTTATATTAAATAAATTATGTAATAGGACAGATAAGGAATAGCTTTAGCTTTTAGATAAAAGCCTAGCAGAGTGCACTATCTAATAGGACCACAGGCCTTGCAGGCTTGTAGGCTGTGCAGGCTATGCTAGCAACAGCATGCAAGCATGCACAGCATGCAAACCCTATGTATATAGTTGTGATCACAACTATAGCTAAAAGGGTGTAATTACTATTTAGTTTTTACTTACCTAATAGACTAAGAGGCATTAGATCCTTTACAAAAAGAACATTACTGCCTTATATATCTTATACTATATATACCTTTTTTTCTATCTTTTTAGATTAGGTTTGCTAGCTCTCTATACAGCTGCTAGGCTAAACCACAGCCTGCCTTCTTTATCCTGCCACACCTACACTCTGCTTAACAGACTGTACACCTAATTAAGCTAAGTTCTTCCCTTTCTCCCTAACATCATCATAGGCCGTCGTGCTCCCGAAAATACCATTTCACCGGAGCAAGGATTGTAACAATAAGCTACATCTAATGTTCTTTTAATATATCTAAGTAGTGTTATTAGAAATGCATTAGTGTGACGGCGCGTACCGCGTCACATGCTCTGCGGCATCAGCTCCCTCGCTTGCGCAACGAGTAGCACGCTAGTGCTACGAGTAGCGCCTTGGCAGGGGGCACACATGTATATTAAACTCGCAGAGCAGCTCCTCTGCTCCTTAGTTTAATCTAGTTAAGTTACACCACCTCTTGCTTGTAGCTTAAGCATGCTAACTGTAACATTAGATTAAACTCCTTAAGTAACATAAAAGCTTAAGTATTACGCACATGTATATGCACACGCCTAAGCTTTTTTAACACACGCACACGCTTACAATTCTAGGTTAATAGACGCTAACATACTCTGTTAAGTTAATAGTAGAGATAGTGCGCAACCTCTCTTCTAATCTTAGAGGGTAAGATTAGTTAGAGTACACTTATACCCTTATTACGCACACGCACACAGTTAGCCTTTTGCTTTTTTTACCTTTTTTCTTCTTTGTACAATAAACAACTTAATTTAACAGCTCTGCGCTAAAATTTAGGCACTACGCTCTAAGTTTTAGCAGGAGATTTAAAGCCTACACGCTAAGAACTAGACGTTGCGCAGCACACTTAGTATTATTACCTCTTTACTCTTATGTATAAAGCTAGTCCTTCTAACACCTACTAAGTTTAATAGTAAGCTATATAGGTTTAAAATGTAGCTGCCTACTATTAAGGCTAAGATTATAATTAATAGTGGCGTAATTAGGGATAGTACAGCCTAGTTCTACTTTGTATAGAACAACCTAGAGCTTATAGTGCAGGCTACTGTACTACTGCTGCTATTAAATGCTAAAGAACAAGGTTACTAAGACTATAAGACAATCCTATAGCAACTGTAATAGGTGTACACTAATGCTAATAAGATCTGCAAGGCCTAGTAGGCTCTGCACAAGATACGCTAGAATAATAGTAAACCTCTGCCTACATATATTACTAAATTTAAGCAGATCTTGCACAAAGCTAAAGGAAGGGATTAGCTAGCTGCTGTTAAGATCTTAATGTTTTACTAGGGTCTTAATGCCTTAATTTAGCGTGCACTAGATAGCTAATTAACGCTGCTAGACAACTATCTAGCATTCCTGCAAGCTGCGCAGCGTTTAGCCACACAATTAAATGCATATTTGCATGCTCTGCATACCTAACCTAATAAAATAGACCTTAGTAGCATTAACGCTATTAGCATTAATATAATTAACGTCGCTGCAGCTACATCTAGTGCTAGCACTAGTGCTAGCACTAGGGCTGGGTTAGTCTCTCCTCCCTAGCGCGCACAATAGAGGAAGGCAGGGAGATGCGTACAATGTGGTTCAGTAGCTCACTAGGTACAGGACTGCCCCTAGCTCCTAGCAGTTACTAGGCGCATTGCAACTGTACAGCTAGCAAAACAATTAGTAGTTTAATAACTAAAGCTAGCACTAGGCTACTATTAGCCTGACACAGAGGACAACAGCGGCTGCGACAGCAACAATAACCTTGTTAACTAAATCACGCTATAGGCAGGCTATAGAGTTTGTTCTTTTCTTTTTCTCTTCTTTAGCTTAATTTTAAGCTCCCTTTTGTACGTAAAAATTAAGCTTTAGAGGGGGGTAATGTGACAGCGCGTACCGCGTCACATGCTCTGCGGCATCAGCTCCCTCGCTTGCGCAACAAGTAGCACGCTAGTGCTACAAGTAGCGCCTTGGCAGGGTGCACACATGTATATTAAACTCGCAGAGCAGCTCCTCTGCTCCTTAGTTTAATCTAGTTGAGTTACACCACCTCTTGCTTGTAGCTTGAGCATGCCGACCGTGACAATTAGTGTAAGAAAGGTAGTGTAGTAGAGTCTTAGTAAAAGTAAGCAACTTAGGTGTGTAAGCAACTTGCCTGTGAAGTACGTTATATAAAATAAATCTAGATATTATTTAGTATAAGCTTTATCTTAAAAATTCTATAGTAACTATATAGCGTAAGATCTACCTATTAAATTATATTAAGTCGTAAAACCCGCTTATGTCATGTATCATTCTTGGGCCCCCACCTCGTCCCTGCGTTACCAATAGTCCTTGGTGACGATGGAGCTAGCACTAGCTCTTCCCCCAACGCCCACACCTTAGTCGACCGACGTTGGAGCTGCTTCCTTCATCTAATATAGTGTTGTTCTCTCTAGAACCCGCCCACCCACTCTGGCGTCCAGAAACCCGCGAAGACGACCATGGCACGGAGTTTGGTTGGCGAAGCGCCCTACTTAAGCGCCCTACTAATGAAGCGAGAAAGGAGTGTCTCCTCTTCCATCCTTTATCGAGACGTTAGCTAAGGGCGAGAAGGCCCAGTACCACTTGGAGCTTAGGCTCGGAGCAGTGCCTTCGTGCGGGGGGTGGGGGTGCCTGTAATAACACCGGCCCAGCAAGGTCGCCATAGACGCGCGATATTAGGCTATACCGAAGGAAAACAGTGTGAAAACGAAATGGCGAAGACTGAATCCTGTGTTTCCGTGGTATAGCATAGACATAGCTTCTGACAGGCGAGAAGAGCGTACGAGGCATTGTCCAGTCAGGTGTTCTCTAAACGCAGAACAACCAAAGTGGGTTGAACGTTGGATATTCATACAGCTAGTTAGTGGGCAAGAGAACCACAGGTTACGTGCCAGCGGAGACCTCAACGCGTCTCTTCTCCACTAAACTGGAGGAGCCGAGTACTCCTTCCAACTGAATTATTGTGAACTCTACATATTCTATTTAGCAGTATCGGCGCACGCAGCTTAAGCCTATTATATATAGCTACGCCCTAAACTAGAGGTAGAGTCGGCAAGTTAGTGTTATGTGTTGCTAGAAGGAGTCTAATCATTGACGATAGTTACGGGAGTTCGCTAGAAAACGATGGCTAAGTTTAGGGCTAGATGCTTTAATTTGGTAGCTAGGCCGTAGTTTTGATGGGTGTGATACTCTTCCCGGCAACACGATTTCTGTACAAGGCATCTGCTTTGCCGCCTTTCTTCTCGGCCTTTTCGAGGTTCCTTATTGGGTGAACGAAGTGTTTGGGGTAGCATCCCTAATATTTGAATGACTATCATCATCTTCCGCCTGAGATGCCGATTCCACAAAGGATCGCAAGAGATAATGGGATTCCAAATCTTGCGAGACCCTAGAGTCTTGTGGAAGCTGCGCGACTCCAAAATCCAACTCTAGAGGCAGATCGTCGATGGCTGAGCAGAGTCTTTTGAAGTGAGTCAGCATCCACGCACCTTAAACATTTTTTAGTGAACTTGTATACTGTCCATTTCTCTCTTCCATCTAATTCTCTAATTCTGTAAAGTCAAAGGTGCGGATTGGATGGTGGTAGAAGGTAGTTTTGGCCCCGTCGATCACGGTATAAGGACCGTAGATCCGGACTGACCGATGATCATGCGAAACTGAGAAGGCGAGGATTTCTCGATTGATCTCGTCCTCGCGTTGAACGAGCAGGAAAAGTTCGACGATGGCCCTCATTGCGAGCGTCATGCTGTGCACATTCTGCCGGTCGGCGATGTCAAGAGCCGCAGTGCCGCATTTCACTTCGCACGTGAGGAGCGGGAAGTACATGTAATATGTGGCCATGAAGAAGGACTGGTCGCCAGCGATGAAGTCGCCGATGAATGGTGAAAGCTTCTCGCGCTGCTCTTCCGTAAACGACTCCCGCTTGAATCCGACAGAATATTCGGGCTGCGGACGGGTCCCAGTCAGAGGGATAGAGTTGTTCCAACCTTCGTTGCCACTTTCAACCAAAACCTCTAGTGTTTTGGCGCCAAACGTAGCGAGAGTCTCCGCAGAAGGAACGATCAATCGGGCGATGTCTTGAACCACCCTCGCTTCATGCTTATCTTGTAGTTTTCGGCAGGTCCTATCAAAGACGTCGTCTCGAAATAATGAGTTGTCTGGGGTAACTTGCTCTTTCTCAAGTATATCTCGGCACGGGTTTTTTCTTCCATTGTGACGTCCAATTCGGATTTGTCCATGTAGCTGCCCTTTGTTTCGAGTAAAGTCTTATACCGAGGATCCTGATACGGTGCACTTTTCTCCCTCTCGGCTTTCGATCGCTTGGTGTTGTAGAGCTCGCCGCGAGAGAACCCGATTGTTTGCGCCGGAGGGAAGGCGCTGACTTCCTCCTTGCAAGCAGATGGCTCATCGTATCCGGCTCAAAGTAATATTCAGGCCAAGCGTGCTTCCTTCGCTAGTGATCAATCGGATTAATGAGCGTCCCGGTGCTGCCAGTTTGCGTCTCTCGATCAACCGGTCTCGCAGTCGTGACGTCTGCGGATCCTCGCGGTCGCTTCGCGGAGGGTACGATTGCGATCCTGGAGGATAGGTCTTCGGTTTCACGTGATCGTTTTCGACCTTTGGGCCGTAGAGCAGTTGATCGATTCTGTGAACTCATCTTGAGTCGGTCGGTAGAGGGAAACGCTGCGAGATACCGTTTCCCGCAAGGTCTTGTTTGCCGTGAGAGAAACTAGCTGCTCACTATGTTCGCCAGGCGCAGAATTTAACCGTGCGCTTCTACGGAGAGGTTTTCGCATTTTCGCTTTGCTGACACCTTAAGGACGTTTCCCTATGAAGTCAGCGGAGCGAATTTGTTGGGCGGAGAATGATGCACCCAGATGTCTTCGCTCGCGTTTTGGGTAGGCTGGTTTGCTGAGGAAGGTCATTTCGATTTCTGTTTCGGGGGAATGAAGGCATCTTTATATTGCGGCGCATTCAGCGGCAAGAAGATGGGAATTCTGATGACGCGAGGGGCGAGTTGAGACGAAGGATGCTTGGCGTAAGATGCACTAAGCTTCTTTGGGTATAGTTTATCGGTGCCTCGGCAGCACACGTTATCTCAGCTAGCTCAGACGTGAGGAGAGAACCGAGGACGCACAAACCACCATGCATATTGCTACTCCAAATAGAGTATGGCCTGGGGGGTTAGCGGTTTCTGACCCCTGTTAGTAGCGTTTCTCTCCTTAGCTGTCTAAGTGTCACGATTGTGCACGAGTAAGGTTATAGAGCTTCACGGAGGTCTAGTTTAATTACTATGTAAGGTATTATAGTAGGTACAAGACGTTATATAAGAAACAGAAAGGTTTAAAAGAAAATTAGTAATTAAATACTTAGCTTAGAAGTCTAAGCGCTTTAAGTATAAATTAAGCTTATTTTAAGTTTAGTTAGTGTTAAAGCAGTTTATACTTAAGTTTATGTCTATGTTATGTTATATTTATGTTAGACATGCACTAATAATACTCTAGTACACATCTAATATAGTTATGTCTAGGATCTAGAGAGGATACTGTAACAGTACCCCCCCTCTTATTAAAAAGGGAATTCTTTACATTAGTAGTTCTAGCATTAAGTTGTCTTTGTTAGAGTATAGGTTTAGTTTAGATAGGTATTAAGCGTAGAATTAGGTTACTATAGAGTTCTTTTATAAGGCTTTTACAGGTTTCTACAACAGTTTGTTATATCTAGTCTATTTTATAAAGTATTTATAGATATGTTTTTTCTTATTAAACTAAATTTATTTAACATTTTCTATAACATATTCTAGTTTATTATTTATAATAATAGGTTTAAGTAGCAGGTTTAGCTGTCTAAGTAAATAGTTAGATTTAAAAGCTACTTAGCGCAGTAACAATACATAGAACACAGGGTGTATTTTTATGCTGTTAGGTAGGATTAATTAGTAAGTGTGTAATAAAACTATATAAGCTACTATAAAGAAGCTAAAGTTTTTCTAATTAAGTTTTTTTAATTATTAGTTTATTTAGATATTTCTAGTGTCTAGCTAGACCTTCTTGCTAGCTGCATACATAAAGGCAAAAGTTTAGAATTAGTTTATATACTCTTATTAAAGAGCTTAAGCCTATGTAAACTTTTTATAAATATATTTAAATATATTTTAAATTTTATTAATAAGTCTATTTACATTTATTACTTATATAAATTAATAAGTTAGTTAAAGAGTATTTAAAAGTAGTTTAAATCTTATTTAAAAGTAGTATCTATAGTTTGCTAAAAATAGAGATACTTACATTAATTTAGATATTATGTTATTAGCTTTAAACTATGCTATAGCTAACTATTTTACTTAGTTGTTCTACTAGTAGTTTATGTACACTTATAAAACTTATTTTATTACTGTTAAATAGGCTCTAACAGCTAGCTGCTTATAGTATAAGCACTTAAGTAGCAAGAGTAAGAGTGGTGTACAGTGTGCACAGCATACAAGGTAGGTAAAGTAAGGGCAACATGTTTCTAGTTCTATTGCTCTTATCTTTCCTCTATATAAAAAAAAAAGGGGATATCTAGATGTTTATGCACAGAGGTTTACACATAAGCATTATGTAACATAGATACATAATTCTGCTTATGCGCAATTGCTTATATCTAGGACATAATGCTACTGCTATGTATAGACACTAGCAACTTTTCTTTTTATCTAAAGAGTTGCCTTCTGTACGCGTTACCTCCCTTCTGTCTATATAGGTCTATCTAATTATGTTCTGCCTTTACTCTACCCCTATTTATTAGGACTTGCCTTAGTAATGCTGTGCGTTAGAATAGGCTAGTTGTGCTATATAAATAGCTCTTCTCTTCTTTATCTTTTACTTTCTAAGCCTTGCTGTACAATTCTCTAGCTCTTTTCTTTTTTTATATAGTGCTAGCAGTAACAGATTCTTATAATAAGAAAAATAAGTGCGTACAATACAAAAAAAATAAAAAGAAATAGGCTTTATATAAAGGCGTTATTAGTCTAGTTAGTCTAAGGCATCTTTGCGCACAGAATCTAGCTAGTCCACAGATGCTTCTATCTAAACAGAGAGGTAGTTAGTTAGGACTAATAATTAAAAAGCCTAGTTTAGTGTTTTCTTTATATATACATTTACTAAGTTATCTTTACTATTAATCTACTTTATTTTAGTAATTTCTCTTTTCTTATATAATTTATAAAGTAATATAATATTAATTATAAGTTACTTTTTACTAGTAGTGCCTAGCTTAATAAAGTAATTATATAGAAACCTTAAATTTATATAGATTACTACTAGGATTAGTAGCAGTTTAAGCATTTATATAATTTACTATAAAGTTATACTAAAGGCAATTATATTATTAAACCTTCTAACTATTCTATACAGTTTACTAGTAAGGACACTCTTAGTTACTCTTTTACACTTAGTAGAATTCTAGTGTATAATGTTGCCTAGTATTTTAAAGTAGTTACTTTACTTTATATAGTCTTTATTACTTAATATAATTAAAAATCTTAGCTATAAGCTAAGGTTTTTATTATTAGTAAATAATTTATTTATAAAGATAAATAGCTTTACATAATTAAGCTGTAATAGTAGAAAAGTAAAACTACACTTACTATTATTTATCTGCTATTAGATTTATGTGTTAAGTGTGTTAATATTATTATGCAAAGAGTTTATAGTTTATATAGTAATAAAAAAGTTAAATGCTGCCTCTAGTTAACATATAAATGTAATATATACCTTTTTTACATATTACTTAATATATTATTGTGCAGCATCTTTATTCTCTAAGTTAATTATATAAAAGTAGTTTACTTGTCTCTTCTAAGTAAAAACTACTATATTATGTGTAAGTTTAATCTTTTTACTATTAAACTTAATAAGCTGCTTCTTTACTAAGATAGTTTTACCTTTTATATAAAACTTTACTTTTTATAGTTTCTTTTTTTTTCTTTATACAAAATTCTTTATTATAATGCTTAAAGTGTTATTTATTTATAAGCTAGTAATACTAAAAGTGTGCTCTTTTTTATTAGTAATTAAAAAGTAGAGGTTGTATAAAAAAAATGTGCATACACAGCTTTTTTTTATAGTAGTTATAGTATGTTTTAAACTAATACAGTCTTAATTTAGCAGCTTTATATAAGAGTTATACAACCTAGAGTATTATATTTAGTAGAAAGCTCTAGCGCATCTTCTTAAGTAGCTTTATGTACAGTGTGTGTATAAGCTTATCTATTAATTAAATGTATACTTATGTAATATTACATAGTTTAAAATACATTTTATATGTAGCTTTTAGGCTTACTTTTATAGCTAAAAGTAGTCTCTAGCTTATCTTCTAGATAGTTAGTAACTAAGTAAGAATTTCTCTTTTTTTTTTATCTAAGTAGCTAGTAAACACTAAGTAGGATTTCTTATATAGTTAAGTTGTTTTACCTTTTACTTTTTATATAAAGTAAAAGTTAAAAATCTAACCTTTATGCCTTATTAAGTTATATGCTATAACTTTAAAAGTGCTATTAGTAATTAAAGTGTCTATCTTTATATAGTCTAATTTCTTAAATAGTTTTTTAAGTGTAGTAATTACACTATCTATATAAAGCTTAATAAATAAGGCCTAATTATCTTTTTTTTTCTAGGTTAGAAATACCTAGTCTAGACTTTATATAGGTTTTCTTTACTTTTTACTTTTTCTAGTATTTATATCTTTCTTTTACACTAGTGTAGCATTGCTATCTTAAGGGGCTTAGTCTATAGTAGGCTTTAGTTCTGCCTTTATAATATTTTTATAAGGCTGTTTTTTTTTCCTCTTTTTTAAAAAATTTTTTTATATAAAGACTAGTTTATCTAGGTTATTTGTTATAAGTAAGTTGTCTTTTTTTTTTCTTTATAGTATAGTTTAACCTGCGTACATTAAAGCTTTAGTAAGCTATTCTCTCTCTTAATAATAATATCTCTCTCTTTAATACTCTTAATCTTATATAGGCTAGTTTAGCCTTTCTTCTCCCTTTATGCTATAATCTCTAAGCTAAAAGAAAAGTTAAGAACTTTATATGTTATAAGGCTATTATAAGTGTTAATTATATAATTAATGTTTACTTTTATATAGTCTTTTTAAAGTATTTTTATTACCTTTTATACAGCGCTTGCTTATGTAATAATGTCTAGTAATAGTAAAAAGTCTAAGTTAATTCTTAAGTATGCTCTAAAGACTAGCAGTGTGGGTACTAGACTATATAGGCTAGCTATGTTATTTAGAGCCTTAACTACTATCTATAGAATAGCCTTATTATCTGTACAGTTACCTAGCTTAGTCTTTAGAATATTAAACACTTATTAGAGAGGTGTATGCACATGCTTAACCTTTCTAACTACCTAATATACTTCTATAGGCATCTACCTGCATGTAGCTCTTATAATCTTTATATAAGCTTAAAATTTTTTTAAAGTAAAGTTTATACTAAAGTTATGCATAATATAGTCTAAAAGTTCTTAATAAGTGTTAATCTAGTATTTATATAGTGCATTCTAGGTATCTTGTGTAGACATAAATTTTAGAAATGTAGTAGCCTAAAATAATATGTTTATATTAATAACATGTAAGACATTTTTATTATTAATTTATATAATATTAATAATAACTTTATAGTTAAAGTAAGTATTATCTTTAATTATAAACTTAAATTTTTATAAAGCCTAGTTATATAATTAGTAAAAGTAGTAAAACTTCTTAATCTCTTCTAGCACTACAGCATTAACATTATAGCTAGCGCTAGTTA